CATTTTTTTACAATCCTTAAACAATGACAACCTCAGAGGGATGACCGTATTGTCACAATGTCAGCTGACTGTCTCCCAAAATATATTTTCTGTGTAGAGCTTGTTGCAGGTACTCGATTGCATGGTGGACAAAAGAAATGATTCAAGGGTTCACTGAACACAACACTGAAAGAATTTAATATTGACCATGTCTTTTGGGAAGCTCTAACTCAAAACCGAAGTGCCTGTAGAAATGCTGTTAACCAAGGGCTAAAGAATTTGAAATAAAAGGAATCAAGAATGCTCAAAGGAAGAGAGAAGTGAAGAGAGCAAGGCTGCAACATCTCAACAGCCCAGCAAGCCCAGGGGCTGCTAACCTGCCTCCAGTGTTTCCATATCTTCTGGCTTTCAGTGTGCTACTGGTCAATCAACTGCTCATTATTCCTCCTCCTCCTCCTTCTTTTCTCTGAAATGGTGAATCTGATGGAGATGACATTTGAAAATGAAGGATGAATAACTACCTACCTACCTACCAAGAAAAAGGGAGAGAGAAAGAGAAGGAATATGAAGTGAAATGCACTAGGTTTTGTATTATTGATGAATGAGGGAATTTTTCAAGAAATACTTTCCTTGGAATTTTTTTAGCATAAGCAGCCAAAGTATAATTTGAGATCATTAGAATCTTTGTATTTCATTTTAATGCCTTACCCACTTAAATTAAATAAACACTACCTTTTGTTTGAGACATGTTTGTCTAATACTTTCCCCACTTAGAAAGCTTAGGGTTTGGCATATTGGTTCATGATCTTCATCCAGTTAAACTTCATTATTTGATCTGATTTGAATAATAAAGGTTGATTCATTTAGGTTGTTTATCAGCTATCCTTCAGCAGGGGGCTTCCAGGATGGCATGCAGTAAGAGGTGTTTCTAATACTGATTGCTAGTAATTACTAGCTCTTGTCTAATCTGTTGTTAAAATTAGGTGATGTCTGGGGAGTTTGCATACAATCAAAAACTATTTATAGTGGTGCCTCGCTTAGCGATTGCCTCATTTAACAATGTATTTGCTTAGCGATGAGTTTTTTGGAGCGATCTTGCACTCCGTTTAACGATATTTCCAATGGGGAAATTTCGCATAGCGATGTTCAGGACCTTGCTTCCCTTAGCGATGACAGTTTAGGTCCCCCTGTTTCACTTAGCGATGTTTGACAGCTGTCAAACCTACAGTTCAATGCATTCCAATGGGGGGGGGGAATTGACCAAAAATTAACGAAGACTCAGAACAAAGCCAAATTAAGTTTGCAAAGGTTTTACAAGGTGCACTAACAATTCCAAGCATTTTAAACAGTTTTTGAACATTTTAAGACACTTTAAAAATAGCGAAAACGGACCTGTCAAAACCATTGAAATGCATTGAAACCTATTCAATGCATTCCAATGGGGGAACCGCATTTCGCTTAGCGATATTTCCTCTGGCGATTTTCGTTTAAGGACGGTAATCCATTCCCATTGGAACGGATTATCTGGTTTTCAATGCATTCCTAAGGGGAAATGGTGTTTCACTTTGCGATGTTTTCCCATAGCGATGGGTTTTTGTGAACCAATTAACATCGCTAAGTGAGGCACCACTGTACTCCTTTGGCCTATTCAGTTGTTGCCTTCCTGGTTGTTACCAACATGCTTCAAGAAGAGCGGGTAGCCTCTTCTCTAACATTGCTTTCTCTTTGTGGAGAACATCTTGTGAAAAGAGGAGAAACTGATGCTTACATATAAGTTCTAGATGCAGAAAGAACCAGAATTTCCCAGGGTTCCTTCCTACGTGTAGAATCTATGCATGAGCAGGCATTTTTTCCTTCCCATGTGACCCATTGCTGTAGCATGTAGAGAAATTGACTACAGCCAAAGGGTTAGTTATGCCTCTTTAAGCAGGCTGGTAACAACTGGAACAAGCTTTGGAGGATAGTATATCTGGAAGTAATACTATATCTTGCATAGTAATAGTTCAAAAAAAGCAACACTTGTAAGCTTTATACCAAAATGAGATTCAGTACTTTTTCCTATCAAAGGTATAGTACAGAATCAAAAAAAGCAACACTTGTAAGCTTTATGCCAAAATGAGATTCAGTACTCTTTCCTATCAAAGGTATAGTACAGAATACAGTATGCGTTCACAGAGAGGTGTCAAACAATCAATGAAGAAATCTAAATCCACAGGCAGACAGCATGTTTATTAGGATCAACTGTAATTCCACAAAGTTATGGATCAACATGGCCTCTTACCTTTTTAAAAATTGCTTTGTAAAATTGCTCATTTGACAATTCAAGGCAGAATCATTTGCTCTGAAAAAAAAGGATGCACCACCCACATTAGCCTCAACTGCCTTCTGCCAGAGTACCTTTTCTCTTGTGCAAAACCATCAGGGTTTTCCTGTGGTTATTTGCATGTGACATTTCATTAGGCTCTTGGTCTGTGTGCCAAGAGGGCAGTTTCTTGGTATGAACTCATTCAAATGCCAGTACTTTGATTACTGACTTGGAATTAAGTCTGTTTAATAACTAAAAAACAAAAACAAAAAAAAAAACAGCAAAGGCTCTTCTTCACTGTGCATTTGAAAAAAGGAAGAGTTAAGGTGGAATTGTTCTTCAGTATGAATACTGTGTTCTTCATGGGATGTGAAAGCCATCACACATCTACTATATACCCTCTTTTCCAACTTGCTAGGTTTTAAGTAAGTGTTTTGTCAATGCAGTTATACAGGCTGAGTTCAGGACTTGTTAAACTACATACTCTGTAAGTATGTTGTCATGCATATACACTGTGGTTTATTTGGGTAAACAGAAGTCTGCCTTAAGGGTAAAATAGAGTCTCTTAGTTTCACACTGCCACCATATTTCTGAACAGTGCAATCTGGAGTTGCAAGGTCTGGTTTACCATCTGATGTCTCATCTGTTACTGACTCAACTCTTGATACCAGCTACCTGAATGTAATGTGGTAGTTTCATTGAATGCATATTTGTAAAGGAATCAGATGATAATGAAATTGCAGTAGAGCATTTGTGATTTGTTATGTCTCATTCACAATAGTGAGTCTTCACTTTGGTTGTAGGCATCAGATAACATGAACATATATTTGTGAACCATCTCGGAGAATCTGTATTGGGTTGTACACTTGACTGTAAGAGTGTGGATATTGTTAATATTATCTGTAATTGTTTTGGGTTGATTCAGCTAAAGACAAGTGAGATTTCGAATCATCTTCCTTAGTCTGGATCCAACATACAATTGCTGTCTGACTAGATTTCATTACCATCACTGATTTGAATGAGAAAGGCAGGATTCATTTATTTAGGACATGATTAAGCTGTCCTTTAGTTTAAGTCCCCAGGGTGGCATATAATAGGAAATTGTGTATTTCAATGGTTTTTATCCACGTTTGCTGCAATCGTTAGCTCTTGTATAACCTGTTGTTTGAACAAGGGTGATATCTGGGGAATACTGAGCAGCATGATATCATAGGAGTTTTCAACATTGAGGGAGTATTTTTAGCCACCAACTCTCATAGTATCCACCGAAGCTTCAAATTTAGAACAAAGTGGCTTGATAGAAAACCAGAGTTCCTTGTGATTGAAAATACAGTGTGTCAGAAAATAAACCTGTCTGCTCTGAAGGAGGATGTGCTGCAGTGAATTGAAAATCTTATGACTGTCTGCTTGTATCTGCAACAATCCTCATTCAAATAGAAAATGCAACACAACTGAGTTTGTTTAGAAATGTGGCAGTTTGATAAACAGCTTGCATTGTATTCCTTTACAGGTGGTGGTGTACCCAACATCCAATAGCTCAAAGTCACCTGAGCTGCATAAAATGATAGTCCCAAAGAATAGTCAGGACTCAGATTTGAGGATAAAGCTTGCTGTGAGGATGGATAAACCAGCACACATGAAGCATTGTGGGTGAGTTTCCGTTCTGACTTCCATTTTGAGGAAGCAACATACTTTCATGTTCTGCAACCCAAAGAAGAAATTGGAGGAAAAAATAAGCAGTCTACATGGAACAAGGTGAAATTTAAGCTTTATTGAAACAAAGTGGACATTGTAGTTTGAAATAAATGTACCATATTTGCCGGTGTATAAGGCGACTGGGCGTATAAGACCACCCCCCCCAACATTCCCACTCAGAATGTAAAGTTTGTTACATACTTGCTGTATAAGACTACCCCCTCTTCCGCATGCGTGATTCTGCTTTGACTGTATCATGGGGAGAGTTCCTTTTGCTCCTTTTGGTTCCTTTTCGGAGAGAGCCAGGGTTTGCTGGAAGAAGGAACAGCAGAGAGGCGGCAGCCATTTTGGAGAGGCGGCAGCCATTTTGAGAGGCAGCAGCCATGTGGTTGCATCTCAAAATGTCTGCCGCCTCTCTGCTGTTCCGACAATCAGCTCTTTGGCACTAGAGTCAGGCTGTTCCCAGGCTAGGAGCGGGGCTCTACTCAGTCTTACTACCAGGTAAGTGACTTTGCTGGGAGAGAGGGAGGGTTTGCTGGACATGCACCCGGCGCACAAGACGACCCCCCCCACTTGGAGGCATGTTTTTCAGGGCCAAAAAGTCATCTTGTACGCCGGCAAATACGGTAAGCATATTTACTTCAGAAGAAAACACAGTAAGAGGGAGCAAATACAATTGAAGTTGTGCTGGAATTGAAAAATATACTTTTTATTTCTTGGACTGGATTTAAGAATTCCTCTTCTATCTAAAATTGGTATGGCCATAACATATTTAGCTAAACTTGTATACTGTAAATTTCCTGTGGGAAGGACACAAATTTGGCAGAAAGAATGGTATACCCCTAATAGGTGTATAGGAAGACTTAATTGGTTAAACACTGCCAAACATACCATGTTCACCCTCATTGCCTTCCCTAGTGTCTTGTCTCTTTTTCTTTATGCTTTTCTCTCTCCACCTCTTTTTTTTAACTGGATTTTTCTTTCCTTCCTCTAACCCTGGTGCTCATTCAGCCTTTCCATCTTCTTGTTCTCCCCCATTTCATGAACCAGGCAACAAAAATTCTATCCCAGTGCTTAATTTTTCTGTTTTTGAACTATTTTAAAGAATCATGTACACTTTAATGTGGTGAAAGGTTTTAAGTCTGTTAGTGAAGCTGTGAGCAATGCCCGTCAGGAGGCCTGACTCCATTACAAGCCTGGACTCCTGGCAGGGTCACCCAGGGTGGAATGGTCACAGCCAAGACACCAAACTAAGATGCATCCATCTTCTTCAAGGCACTGGGCAGCAGTGGTAGCTGAAAGAGACACAGATGGAGGAGGAAACATCAATGACACTTGGAACAAATGTTTGTTAGTACTGTGCAGAAGAGGACAATGGTAAACTGTAACTGACCCTTTCTTACCTGGAAAAGCCTATGAAGAGGCAGTCCAAAATGAAATACAAGATTGCTGAAAGATGAGACTCCCCGGTTGGAAAGCATTCAATCAGCTACTAAGGAAGAGCAAAGGACAAGTTCAAATAGCTCTGTTGCTAATGATGCAACTTGATTAAAGCTAAAATAATGTCTGGTGGCTGATGTGCGCAGATGTGAAAGGAAAGCCCAATGTTGCATAAAACATACAATTGAAACATGGGACATGAGAAGTATGAATCAGGGTAAACTGGAAACTGTAAAGTAAGAAATGAAACATATAAACATTGGAATACAGTGGTGCCCTGCAAGATGATGTTAATTCATTCCATTGAAATCGCTGTTTGCGAAAACATTGTCTTGCGAAAAGCGTTTCCCCATTGGAATGCATTGAAATCCATTTAATGCGTTCCAATGAGGAAAAATCGTCGTCGTGCAGCGAAAATCGCCCATAGGAAAGCCCTTTGGCGAAGGACCGATTAGCTGTAAAATCACCGTCTTGTGAAAAACTGAAGCACCGATCAGCTATAAAAATTGTCATCTTGCGAAAAACAGTCTGCGAAGTACAGACCAAATGATTGTCCAGCAAAATCCCCCATAGGAAAAACCATTTTGCGAATCACTATAGCAATCGCAAAGTCATCGTCCTGTGGATTACCCATTTTGTGAGGTAATCGTCTAGCAGGGCCCCACTGTACTTGGTTTCAGTGAGCTAAAGTGAACTGGAATTTTCAGTCAAACAACTACATCATGTTCTGCTTTGGAAGTGACAAATCCAGAAGTGGAGTGGCTCTAACCTTGAAGTAAGATATAGCAATTAGGTCCTAGATAAAATCAAGCCTGAATTATCTGTGAAGGCAAAAATTATGAAAGTGAGGTGTTCATATGATTGATGTGGGTTTTTCGGGCTCTTTGGCCGTGTTCTGAAGGTTGTTCATCATGACTTTTTGCCAGTCTCTGTGGCCGGCATCTTCAGAGGACTGGAGTAGGAACTCAGTCCATGCTCTGTAGAACACGGCGAAAGAGCCCGAAAAACCCACAACAACCACCAGATCCTGGCCATTGAAGCTTTCAAGAATACATTGAGGTGTTAATACTTCAGGCACATCATGAGAAGGCAGGATTCTTTGGAAAAGACAATACAATGCTGGGAATGCTGGGAAAGGTTAAAGGCAGCAGCAGAGAGGAAGATGAAATACAAAATGGATTGATTCCCTAAAGGAACCACAGGCTTGAGTTTGCAAGAACTGAGCAAAGCAGTTGAGGACAGGACATTTTGGAAATCTCTTGTTCATAGGGCCACTATAAGTTGGAAGGGGCTTAACAGCATGTAATAACAAAAATTAAGGGCTCTGCAGAGAGAAGCAATGTCTAGAAGTTCCGTGAAGAAATTAATTTCCCAGGCCTACATGTAGCTTATCCCAAAGAAGGATTCAGTATGACTGGTATCTAAAGATGTTCATGCAGGCACCAGACTGATTTTAATGAACTAATTTGTTTTCAAAATGAAACCCTGAGATGCATCCTCTTTCCCTTGATTTCTGTTACTAAATTTCAGGTAGCTAGTTTTCATAGTCTGAATGACTACCATGAATTTGAATGCAGATTTTCATGATCATGTTTGGTATTATGTTCACTTTTATAATTTGGTTGGAAAGAGTATACACATTGTTGATCTCATGGATAACAGTAACTACCACCACCACCAAGGGTGATACTGCTAGTAGTGAACTTTTTTGATAATAGGCAACTAAAACTTTTGGACACACAAACTACTGTAGATCAATGGAACATGCTCTTGCTAGGGGTTTAGATACCCAACAAAGCTTTGTGCTGCCGTTTGCTACAGTTCAGTATAAATTTCTTAACAGGAGATGGTAATAAAGCTCTGCCTAAGAAGGAACAAACTGTTCCATGTGCAGCAAAATGAAAAAGGTCACTGTATGCATAATTTATGGTACAATTTTTAAAAATTTATGAAAAATATTTTCTTTGAGCTACATGCAAGGATAGTGGTTTGCGATGATGATAACCATTCTGTCCTCGGTCTGTAAGCCCCTGCTTTAGCAATCCCTGTGTGTGTGTGTGTGTGTGTGTGAGAGAGAGAGAGAGAGAGAGAGAGAATGAGTGTGTATTTTTATTCAAATGTTTGAAGTAGGACCTTTGTGTCTAATTCAGTAATGGTAGCCATATTAAGCCATATTAATTAATGTGTACAGGTATCTCTAACATACCGTTTGCACATGTGTTTTAGGGTCAGAATTCATGCTGATTTCTTCATTTTACCATTTAGTCTTTACTTTTTCCAAAATCTTAATGTCTTAGAAGCCAAGGGATATCTTGCTGAATCCATGTATTTCATAGCAGTCCTCTTAACTCCATTTAGAAAATGGGCAAAAAGGCGCGGGGGCGAGCCCACTTCTTGTGAAACAGTAACTTTATTTGAATGTACACTTATTTCCACAGGATCAAACGGATCCTTTAACACTTCATCAGATAACAAGGTGTATCTTTTTGCCTTTACAACAGGTGGGTTCATCTCTTCCCCTACCAGGGGGCCGGGCCGAATCGTTCGCGATCCGTTAACGGTCTTAGGGGCGCACTCCGCACGGCACATATGGTCCCACAACAGGGATGGCGGGCCCAATCCCCCTCTGGAGGCTTCTGTTGGAATTCTGGACCCAGGCGGATAACTCTCCAGCCCCCACCAGGGTAGCTCACCGGGAAAACTGAGACCCTCCATTCCAGGGGCTCATATGCCCTACCGCGTCCGCTGGGTAAAGAAGGCTCCGGCAACAGTCCTCCCTCTTTCTTTACATTCGGGAACCCTTGGGCCAAGTCCGCTTGACTCTTCACGTCTGTTAGCCAATCGGCCTGCACCCCCCTATTCATGCATCTGCCCAGCTCGCCTTCCCCTAGCCAACTAAATTCCCGCGCGTTTGATCCTTCCCCTTTCACCTCCTGCCACATGATCAGGTCTAGTTCGGCTCCTCCCTCATCAACCAGGCACACTTCCGTCGGTCTCCTTTGTGGCTCTTCCTCGCGTTCTATCTCCACTAAAATCCCTTCTGCACAACCACTCTCTTCTTTCGGGCTCTCTTCTTCTGAGGACGGCACACTCTGACCTACACCTTCACAGCAACTTACCAAGCATTTATTCTCTTCAGGTGGTTGTGCTTGAGACTCAAGTCTGTAAAAATTAACTTTGTGGGGAAAGGAAGCATTTTTCTGATAATGCTTGAAAAGGTACATTTTAAAACTTCTTTATCTGAAAATAAACGCCATAATTCTTTCTCACAGCCATGTTGTGTGTTATGATGATGTACTGCTCAGGTATTTTCTAGTACTTTAAGTAGTTTTTTTTAAAAAAAGAAAAAAGAACAAGTCAGTGGTATCCACCTTGAAAACATTTTATCAAAATGCCTTTAAAATTTTATACCCTTTAAAAATCACCTTCAAAAGTAGTGAGAAGATATTAGTTGCTATACCAGTAAAGTAACTCACCAAGTTATGTTTGAATTTAACTGTTTTATACTCTCAATA